ATGGTAAAAAATCGTTCAAATCCGACATTTCCTTCTTAAGTTACAAGCATTTAAGCATACAGCTGTTTAAAGAACAATATATGAGAAATCAGCCTTCAAAGTTTATGATTTCAGGCATTTCTCATGCAGAAATATCATTAAAAAGTGTTGTTTTAACATTGAAATTTGGAAAAATAACAGCACAGCATGATGTATAAATATATAAACCTTAGTTTAGTGAAATAAAATAGATTTTTAAAAATTTCACATTGTAACATGTTTTTGCTATTTTCTCTGAAACATATTTTGCGACGAGTGACTGGTTTGGCTTGTCTTTGCCACATGTATAGGTATGATATGATGACATCATGCCTCATATGCCGTCAATCCAGGGGTGGCGCCAGGATTTTCTCGACAAGGAGTCAGATTTCCCAGACGAAAGGAAAGTAGGCGTGGTTGGGCTTCGATTAAAAGGTTGCGAAAGTGATATCGGGGGTGAATCCTCTGAAAATTTAGGGGTTTCAAAGGCTTATTTAATCGATTTTAGAGTCTACTAATATGTAGAAAATACATATAATTTTTTTTTCTCCCCGATGAATTGTGCTTTTTCTCTCCCCGACGGGGGGGCCCTGTCTCCCCCCCCCCCCGCTGGCCCCACCCGCTGGTGCCACCTCTGTGTCAATCACAGATACAGTATTTGTCATACAAGTGGACATGCATTAAAACCTAAGGCTCTGTCCACACTATCAGTTTTCATGTAGCTGTGATATATACATGGGATTCACATATGTAGATATGATGACATCATGCCCCATATATGGGCAGTCAATGTAAATGTATAATGTTTAACAATGACAATGAAAAGACAACTGAATACTGTATTGTTAAGTACAGTATTTTCTTTCTGTAGTGAAGCTAGGAATAATTTTTTTTAATGATCTGTTGTTTCCCTGTTTTTCCAGAGTAAAGCACATTGAAGCTTCTGTGACACTGTTCTATATATAAATTGCATAATATAGTATTACATTCTTTCTAATGTTATACATTTTATTAGGTTACACCTTACAAACTTAAATACAAAGAAATAAGTAACAGTTCATGTTTAATTGTGTAATATTAATTGTTTATAGGTGTGGCCTGGAAATACTGCTTTTCCCGACTTTTTTAATCCTGCTGCTGTAAAATGGTGGGAAAAGTGGGCAAGGAACTTCCACGACCAAGTAGAATTTGATGGAATGTGGATAGTAAGTATTGCATTGGTTAAATTATTTTTCAATCATCAAATTTTAGCTAAATATTTTATTTAATCTTATTCTGCTAAAGAAATTATAATATGTTTAAAATTCTCTGCTTTAAATTTTGATCTAATTTGTAAATATGTATTTGATTTTTAAATTCATGTCTATTTCGTGAATACTTACCTGGATGAACCGATATACTGTATGCCAGATTCCTAATGGAACTTACCCGCGAAAAATAATGGAATCGTCTAACCCAGGTGTATAACACATCGGCGTTACATAACCAGCCTTAAATTTCCTTTCGCCGTGAGCGAGTGAAGAGAGTCTTACCTTGTAGAGAGAACAATTTGCCACCCTGCAAGGGGTTCCGTTTGCTGACATCTTGCAAACGGCATGGTGGAGGAACGTTCTCGACGTTTTATTTGTCAGACGTGCTGTCTACCCAGAAGCCAGTGGCTAGGGCGTTGTTATCACACCATCAAGCTCTTTAGGTAAGTGTCGATTGGCGGTGGTATTCTGGCATATATAGGTTCATGCAGTTAAGTATTCACGAAATAGACCACACAAATCAGAAGTGATGTTATTGGTCTATGAGTGAGATGATTACCTGGATGAATGCCCTCCTGTTCCCTCCTCTGCAGATCCTTTTTGTTCTCTAGGAAATTTTGAGGCTGGTTACGTAAAGCTGATGCGTTATATACACCTGGGTTAGTCGATTCCATTATTTTTCGCGGGTAAGTTCCATTAGGAATCTGGCATATATCGGATCATCCAAGTAAGTATCTCACTCATAGACCAACAATATCGCTTCTGATTTGTGTGATTAATGTTTTTTGTACAAATTCATAATTTTAAAAAAATTATATATTTGTAAATGCAATAAATTTAGCCATTGTATACTTTTATACCTGAATAAGTAAATAATTAATTTGTTTGGTAAGTCAGTGTGTAGTCTGCCATAGCTCTATGTCACCAAGATCAAAACATGCTTTTTTGCCTCAGGCGCACTTAATACAGCTGAATCAATTTGTCCAAAAGTTTCAGCTAAATCAAACAAAGTTATTAGAGGAACAATTTTAAACTACTTGCCTGTGGTTAGGCACTTGCTTATTCACTCGATTATAAACATATATAATGGTTGGTGAATTATACTTCATAAATGATTATATTTTACTGTGATTTATATGTTGGTTTATGAGTAAAGATGGATTAATGAATTGAATTTTTATTAATAGTGTATAAAAATTTCATGATAACACCTTTATGTTAAAACAATTTCAAATCATCAATAAAATTGGTTGCATTAGACACTTTTTTAAAAATAGTAGAACCTACTATATTGTGTTAATATGTTGAATATTCGTTATTGAATATAAACTGATTTGATTTTATTAAGTTTGTCCCTAAAAGTAAAATTATAGTTGAATTAAATTTATCAATAATGCATCTAATTCCAAACACTTTAGTGTTTACACTTTTGTAACCAAATGTGTTCTTCGTTGATTGGATAACTGTGTACCGGTCTACGCATCATCATAGGTGACGTGGTTTAGTAAAACTGTTGAAAGGTGCATCCAACATTGAAAATTCACTTACACAATGTTTTATCATGAAAGGTCTTTGATATTGAATGGCCAGTTATCATTATGTATTTAAAGAAAAGGATTGTCCGCATACACGAACACAGATTGCATCAAGTTGCATTTGTTGCCGTTCTTAAAATGAAGGGCAAGTCAAATTTGACAGACACACGGTTATAATAAAATATAATTTGAACATACCAGGAGGCTGGTTCCTAGGTTAGAAGGAGCAGGTCAGAAAGTATCACTCTTCCTCATGTAATAGACGACCTCGATGAAAGAAGATGACAAACAAACATTGAATCAGATAGCCTGTATACTTCACAGTTTTTAATTTCAGTGTATCAACGGCAGCAATTAGAAAAGCGCAAAGAAAGTTGGCCTGGAAAAAAGCGGTCCCAAGTACCGTCAGATGATCAGAGATGTGAACATGGTGAAATGGTTGGAATTCTGCATCCGAGTGTCAGCAGAAGAAGACAAATTTGAGAATTTAACATGGACAGATGAGACATCTGTCTACCAGAGCAACATGGCGCAAAGTGTGTTTGTACAAAGTTGGAGAGGAGCCAAAGTTGAAACCGGTAGCTAAACATCCAGTTAAAGTTCATGTATGGGGTAGCATCGGTCTAAATGCTTTGATCTTCGGTGGGAGTATGAATACTGACGTTTATGAAATTTCTTGAAGCCATTCTACTTCCCTTTGTTCGCTGTGTTTCCTGAATCGCACCAACAGATTCCAACAGGATAATAATCCTAAGCACACGTGTCATCTGCCTGACAGTAAATGGAAGCAAACGGTATCAACTGGTGGAAAATACCGCTTGAATTAACTGATCTCAACCTCATCGATAACATCTGGCATCAGCTAAAAACACCATCTGCGCAGAAATGTGAAACAGTTACAGTATATTCCAATTAATCTACTTGTTTCTTGTTGGTTATTTTTATTTTACCATTATTCTCTTATGCCATCTATTTCATATTGTCTGTTCTTTATTAGCCATCCTCTGATTGATTTCTCCAGTCTATTTCGTGAATACTTACCTGGATAATCGACTAATTGCCATTGTTCCCAAAACGGAACACCCCTCGAACAAAATGGAACAGTCCGACCCAAGGCGCCACGTACGAACCGTCTCCCTAACAAACGTCCTCATTCCCTTTTCGACGTTGTTCGAAGTCGGATACATCTAGCCTTTGAAAATTACTAGCAGACTTTTCAAGCAATTCTGTTCTCCCTGGATTTATTTTTGCTTTGGATTTATTTTTGCCTTGGATATATTTTCAACTTGTGGTTGACAAGATATCCTTTTTATTGTAGTCTCGATCGGCATGTCCGCTCGCAAGTCTTTGTGCTCGGTGTGTGGGGGCCCCAAACCGAGTGTTAAGCTCGACCGGCACTCGGAGTGCCCATTGTGTCGCTCGTGTAGCAAGGCTGAGCCTTGCGAGATTTGTGCGC